GCGGAAATGGTGGGGGAAAGGGAGAGAGGCAAACCATGAGAGACTCTTGAATGCTGACAAAAACTGAGGACTGATGGATATGGGGGGGAGGGGGGGATGGGCATGGAGGAGGACACTTGTGGGGATGAGCACTGAGTGTTATGTGGAAACTAATTTGACAATAAACTATTTGTAAAAAAATAAATAAATAAATAAAAAATAAAAAAAAGAAAAAGAAAAAAAATATATATACTGTGATTCCAAAAAAAAAAAAAAAAAAAAGTTCATGGATCTAATTGTAATTAAAATTTCAATTCCCTTATTAAACATATCTTGAACTTGTAAAATATACATGTTTAAAATGCAAATGTCTTTTCTAAGACTCCAAAATGTCATCTAATTGTCTTTTTTAAAAAGCAACATAAAGATAAGACTTTTATGCTGAAAAAAGGCAATTTTATCTCTATATCTATATGGTGGTATAGATATGTGTATTATACTTTACCTAAATTTAGCAATAAAATGATATATTATATTAAACACCTGGCTATAAAATGTTAAGATAATCACAGGTAAAATTAAGCAAACAAACCTAATCACCATGTTTTAGAAACTGGTAATTTCAAGGACACTTACATACAACAATTAATGACTATAGTCAGAGCTTTTTGTAAATATATATATTTGTATGTGTGTCTGTGTGTACATACATATATATAAATCTTGAAATATACTTATTCCCCATCTTTCTGATACTTCATGATTCTTCTCCAATAATATTGGATTTAATGATTTAGATTTAATTTGATTAATGTTAAAATTTAAAATCTAATGAAATATTATCAATTTAAATAAATCATAATACTTAAGTATTAATAGAAATCAAAAGTTAAGTGAATCATAAAATTTAAATATTAATGGTGGTTGAAAATGTATAATCTATTGAATTCTTTAATACAATGACTATACTTTCTCATAAAACAATACCAAAGTCCACAATGTACATGAAACTGTACCTTCACCATGTTCTCTTTTAAAACTGTTATTGTCAACAATGAAGATCTGGAAGTATCCACACTGATTTTAAGCATTTTATTCTGAGTGGAGAACTACAAAGACCTAGTAGAACATCTATTTAACTAAATTCTCAGACTGAAATAAATGTCAAATAAAACACCCTCCCTTTTTCATGGTATTTTTCTGTGAAAACAACAATGAGATATTCTGTACTCACTCACAAGAAAGGAAACAGAGGGGCATTACTTAAAAGAAGAGCATTAGGAAAATATTATGCATATTATACAAGAAGAAATGAAAAGAACTATAAATATTTTGACAAATGGCAATTTTATTCAGAATAAAAGTTTTGAATTATTATAAATTCAAAAGCAATAAAACTATTCTTGTTGAACAAAACAGAAATTTGTAAAAATTGAAGTCGTCCATAATCTTTGACCATTCCTACGTGGGATTGCTGCATCTACCATATTTTAACCAATTCTCTATGATGTATACCTATCATTTTTATTCTAGTTTTATAGTCTTTTAGTTTCTCTTATTATTAGCAATGCTATAATCAACATTACTAATCACAAATTCTTTGTACGCAATTGTTAGCCTCTAAACTTTGAATCCCTAGAATTGGAAGTGGTAACTCAATTGGATTTGGATGTTAAGAAATCTTAAAGGAAAATTTTTGATAGATATAAACCAAGCATAAAACTTCAAAAATTTACATTGTCATAAGCACTATATGAGAGTCTTTCTTTAATTTACTAAAAACTCTTTATCAAAAATTTTCTTTCTTTGCCAAACTAGTCAATGAAAAAAAAAACCCACAAAACCACTTCATTATTTTATATGTATTTAACTGAGTGAACAGAATCTTATAAGCAGTTTTAATATTTCTTTTTCTATGAATTGTGTTATATTTTTGTCCATACTTTCTATATTTTTATTTTTTCAGAAAAACTATATTTAGAAAACTGGAGGGGAGCCTGGGTGGCTTAGTCGGTTAAGCGTCCGACTTTCCCTTGGGTCATGGTCTCACGGTTCGTGGGTTCGAGCCCCGCGTCGGGCTCTGTGCTGACTGCCAGCTCAGAGCCTGGAGCCTGTTTCAGAGTCTGTGTCTCCCTCTCTCTCTGACCCTCCCCTGCTCACGCTGTCTCTATCTCTCTCTCCTAGGAATAAATAAAAATATTAAAAAAAAAAAAGAAAACTGGAACAGATACTATAACAAATACCTTAATACTATGTTCCCAGTTAACAACAACAACAAAAAAATGATGGTGATATGTTAATACTTCCTCATTTTTAAGGAATAAAAACCACATTGATATGGTTGCAGTTTACTTTCTCCTTTAAGCTTCTATCTCCCTCTTTTGCTTCCTTCCCAAATTCACTAAAACATATTTAACTACATAATTTCTATATGAATATTTCTGCCTATATGGAACTTTGTTTCAAGTTTAATTATGTGAATGTTGTCATGAAGCACTTATTATCCTATAACTTGGTGTATTATTTAATAGCATATGGTTTAATGATCAATGTTGAGACTATAGATCTTGTTCATAGATTTC